AAATATTTTTATTGCTTTTTTACAGAGAGGAAGAGAGAGGGAAAGAGAGTTAAAAACATCAATGAGAGAGAAACATCAATCAGCTGCCTCCTGCACACCCCCTACTGGGAATGTTCCCACAACCAAGGTACATGCTCTTGACAGGAATCGAACCTGGGACCCTTGAGTCCACAGGCTGACCCTCTACCCACTGAGCCAAATAGGTTAGGGCTCTAAGAATGGTTTCTTTCTTTCTTTCTTTCTTTCTTTCTTTTTTTTTTTTTTTTTTTTTTAAATATATTTTATTGATTTTGTACAGAGAGGGAGAGAGATAGAAAGCTAGAAACATCAATGAGAGAGAGTCATTGATCAACTGCCTCTTGCACACCCCCAACTGGGGATATGCCCGCAACCAAGGTACATGCTCTTGACCGGAATCCAACCCGGGTCCCTTCAGTCCCCAAGCCGACGCTCTATCCATTGAGCCAAACCGGTCTCGGCTAAGAATGGTTTCTTAAAACATAAACTGGCTATTTCCCAATAGCTCAGATGGTTAGAGTGTCATCCCAATACTTCAAAGTTGTGGGTTCAAACTGCAGACAGGGCACATACAAGAATCAGCCAATGAATACATAAATAAGAGGAACAAATGGTTGTTTCTCTTTCTCCCCTCCCCACACCCGCTCCCTAAAAGAAAAAGGAAAGAAAAACAAACAAAACATAACTGAAAGATTATCTCCTTAGTGATTTGTGACTGCTCCAAAAAGAAAAAACTGGGAAACCATAACCTTGAGGAGTAAAGAACAACTCTAGCAATATGATAGGGCAGAGCTTCCCCAGCACTATAGGTGTGTCAGGATACTGATCCCCTTCCTCAGCGTTTCACACACCTAGCTTTCAACCTCAACCACCTCACCCATCTTAATGCGCTATTCAAAAATTACTTTCTGCTGTGGAGAACAGTATGGCGTTTCCTCAAAAAACTAAAAATGGAGCTCCCATTTGAACCAGTGACCCCACTTCTAGGAATATATCTAGTTTCTAGAAGAAACTAGAAACACAAATCAGAAAGGATATATGCACCCCCCAGGTTCATAGCAGAACAATTTACAATAGCAAAGATTTGTAAACAGCTTAAGTGCCCATCAGCAGATGAGTGGATTAAAAAACTGTGGTACAGCCGAAACTGACTTGGTTCAATGGTAGAGCGTCGGTCTGCGGACTGAAAGGTCCCAGGTTTGATTCCGGTCAAGAGCATGTACACCGGTTGAGGGCACAACCCCGGTAGGGGTGTGCAAGAGGCAGCTAGTCGATGTTTCTCTCTCATCGACGTTTCTAGCTCTCTATCCCTCTCTCCTCCTCTCAGTAAAAAAAAAAAAAAATCAATAAAATATATTAAATAAATAAATAAATAAATAATAAACTGTGGTACATCTAGACAATGGGATACTACACTGTGGTAAAAAAAAAAAAAAAAAAAAAAGGAGTTCTTACTATTTGCAACAGCATGGATAGACCTGGAGAGCATTATGCTAAGTGAAATAAGCCAGTGAGAGAAAGATAAATATCACATGATCTCACTCATTTGTGGAATATAATTAACAACATAAACTGATGGACAGGGACAGATCCAGAGACAGAGAAGCATCGCTCAGACTGCCAAACTTCAGAGGGAAGGTAGGGGAGGGAAGGGGAAAGGAGGATTTGTATGCTTGCATATGAGCCTAACAAATGGACACAGACACCATGGGGGTAAGTGCATGGGGGATGGGGGAGTTTGCGGGATTAATGGAGGGATGAGGACACATATATAATACCTTAATCAATATATTTTTTAAAAAAATTTTCTGCATGTGCCACACATGAAAAAATGTTGGGAGGCATGATTTAAGGTGATACTAAAGCAGTTACAACTTCAACTTTAAAATATTCTCCAAGGAGAAATGCAAAGTCTACCCTTAGTTATGGATCATAAAGAATATTTAATTTTTATCAATTTGAGTAATCAAATTCTATGTTAATTTGTATAATATCTAAAATACAGCTCCTCTTACGGTTTAAGTAACCTCTTCAGCAGCAGTAATATCCTGCTGTGGTTAAGATAAAGAAATCTGGCCTGGCCAGCGTGGCTTAGTGGTTAAGCGTCGACCTATGAACCAGGAGGTCATGGCTTGATTCCCCGTTGCAGGCTTGATCCCCAGTGGAGGGCCTACAGGAGGTAGTAAATCAGTGATTCGCTCTTATCATTGATGCTTCTCTCTCCCTCTTCTTTCCTCTCTAAAATCAATATTTTAAAAAATCTGAAAACTTTTTAAGGACTTGGTCAGACAAAGAATTCGTGCATTCTATACTTCCTAAGCATTCTAATGGAAATCCTCCAAATATACATTTCCTAACTTCCTTCCATGCTTTTTCTCCACAACATGATCACCTTCTCTATGCAATTAACTTAAATATTTTGTTCCTGTCTCTCCCAATCAGACTTTTTATATCCAAAAAGGCAGAAATCTTGTCTACTTTTTGTTCACCTTAGATGAATAGGCCCTCACAAAATTATTAATGAGTAAATGAACAAATTTGGTTGTAGTTTTATGTTAATTTGTTTTGAAAAAAGTTAACATTTTCTATTAAGATGGTCAAGTAAAATATTGTTCACCAAAGACCGAATAATAACAGAAAGTTGTCTTGTGTTTGAAAAATCTTGATTTATGTATATGAAAGTATTTATCAAGATACTACCAGAGCCAAAACCGGTTTGACTCAGTGGATAGAGTTTCGGTCTGTGGACTGAAAGGTCCCAGGTTAGATTCTGGTCAAAGGCAGCTGGTCGATGTTTCTCTCTCATCAATGTTTCTCTCTCATAGATGTTTCTAGCTCTCTATCCTCTCTCTTCCTCTCTGTAAAAAATCAATAAAATAGATTTTAAAAAAAGATACTACCAGAAAATCTGAGATGTTTTAAAAATATAAATAAAAGGAAAGACTTAGTTTTATTTTAGTTAAATGAGGGAACATCAGTTTCCCATTTCTCTATCAGAAAACACAGAGGAATAAAGGGTGATAAGATAGTTAAATGTAGTACTTGGAACACAAAAAGCATTACACTGGCAAGTTTCTTTTCCCCCCCTTGCTTAAGTCGCCATGTAAAATTCATAATTATCAATATTAAGTTCTTTACTGACTCATTTTTGTCTTAACAAACCTGCCCTTTTCAGACACTTGAAGCCTAAATCTAACCAGCAAATTAGTCATCCCCATACTTCCCTTGTGAAAAATCATCACACATATTGTGGATTTTAATCTTAATTCTCATTTAAAACAAACCTTTTTAATCTTAATAATCTTAAATTAATCTTATAGCCTCGCTACCGTTCAACTAGTGTTCCAGTTCCTTTTGGGGCCTCAAATGACGGAACTTCTCTCACATCTCTGGGGAGATTAGTGTAAAGTATAATGTTTCCTGAAATTGTTCTTCTTTCCCCCTGCACCATTTCATGACATCTCTTCAGCTAGGGGTGTTCTATACTTTATTTATTTTTTTTTTTCTATTCTGCAGGAAAGTCCAAAGAGAGAAGCAACGGTAAAACACACACACACACACACAACCACAACTGTATGAAAAACAGGTTCAAAGGGAGTAACACCAAAGCCCAGAAGACAAGGCAAACCCAAATATGTGCACAAAAGAGGACGATGATGAAGAAGAAAAAAAAGAAGAGATAGAAGAAAACCACTGTTCTGGCCTACAAAGGAGAGAAATCCACTGTGCTTATTATTCAAGAAACAAAAGCACAAAAATCCTTCTAAGAAAAAAAACGTGGTCTCTTTTCTCTACTCGAGGAGTTTCCTTGTTAAAAATCTAAAAAAGCGCTCGGCGGCCACTCCCACGAGGGAGTTCTCCCTTCTCTTCCTACGTGTTTTGATACAGGTCGCCTTCGCCGGTAAATGAAGTGCGGGCTACAGATACATGTGCAGTCACAATCCCTACAGAAACTCCACCAGTGGATGCCATCTTTGCCAGAAAAACACATGCAAACCCCTTGGATTCGGGGGGTTGGGGGGGGAGAATAAGGGTTCTAGGAAGTTGGAAAGCCAGCAAAGCACGCATTGCCCGGCCGGGTAGTAGCTGGGGCACCGGGTTAAACCAACAGCTCCTTCCAAACTCAGGTCCCCCCTGACGATCGGGGTGGGGGGGGGGGGGAGAGAAAGGGCAAAGGGCTGCAGCCCGGCCGCTGCCACCTCCAGGGCGGGGCGCCGCCGGGGAGGGGAAGCGACGCCCCGCGGTCCCGGGAGGGCTCCGGGGTCGTGACTGGGCTCTCGGGGGACATGGCATAGACGGCGGCGAGTGATGTCGATGGACGAGGGAGAAGGCGGGCTGCTGTCCGCTGAGAGCCGAGGCTCCCAGAGAAAGGTCCTCAAGAGGCAAAAAATATATATATATAAACAAATGAAAATTTAAGGGGCAGAAGGAGAGCAGCCGGGGAGGCCGGCGTGGGAGGCCCGGGCGGAGAGGCCCTCCCCGGGAACGCCTTTCCAGCTCCCCCACACGCAGCCCCTCTCGGGGCCGCTCCGGCCCGGCGACGGCGGCGGAGCAGCTGTTTCCGCCGGGCCGGGCCGGGCCGGGGCCGGGGGCGAAGGCATCCCTGCGGCGGGCGGGCGAAGGGCAGGCCGGCTGCGAGCGAGCGGGAGGCGACTCCGAGACGACAGCCGCCGAGCCCCCGCCAAACTTCGCCCACCCCTGCCCTTCGCTTTCTTTCTCCCCCAACTTTCCGGCCGGCTGGTGTCCGCTTCGACCGACCGAGCCCGCCGCCGCCGCCGCCGCCGCCTCCCCGCCACCCTCCCCCCCGCCCTTCTTTCCGCCGCCTCACTCCTCCCCGGTGCCCGGAGCCTGGGGAGCCCTGGCCGCCAGGCCCGCTCCCGAGCCCGCGCGGCGCCCCCGAGTCCCAGACACCGCCCCCGGCGAGACGCTCGCATCCTCCCGGAGGCTCCCTCGCCCGCCCAGATGCTGCAAACCCCTCTCACCTGCATTGACGCCATGATGGAACCATGCCCCCTCCCCCCCTCCGAGGCCGGCGAGGCCAGAGACGCAGGGGGCGGGGCCGCCGTGCTTGCGTCACGCCGCGGGGGCCCAGCATCCGGGCGTGGGGGGCGGGGCCTCCGAGGGAAGGGAATGGCGCGACGGGATTGGCTGGCGTGCAGGGCGCCCGCGGAGGGGCGGGGCGGGGCGGGGCGGGCGGGGCGGAGGGGAGCGGTGCTGTCAGGGGCCTCGGTCCCAGCCCGCTGTCCGGTCCGCGGCGAGCTCGCCGGCTGTCCCGATCGCTTGGGACAAGCTTCTCCGGGTCTGAGCTGGACCCGGTTGCTTTTTTTTTTTTTTTCCTGTCCGTTCTCCGAGATCCTGATGATGTCCGGACTCGTGGGGGTTTTTTTGTGTTTTTTTTTTCTGGTTTGTTTTGTTTTTCCAACCACAGGGCTAGAGTGTACAGATTTCCCCTTCGGATGGCTTTCCCCACCTCGGTGCCCACTGTCACACCCTTGGGGATGGAAAAAACTTTCCGCGGGGCTGCGTGCTGGTCTTTTCGAACAGGGAAGGCTTCTCGTAGCCCTAATTTTGGGAAGAGAGACACGAGTTTCCTTGTGCAACGCCGTGTGAGAATGGAAAGCAGAACAGCGCTTTGCTTTAGAGGCCAGCGTCGGTTTTTGGAGAGCTGAAACTTGCCCGGAGGGGAAGGGAAATCTTTAAATTTTTTCCCTCTGTGTGTGTGGTTATAACACCTTCATCCCAGCCCCTCAGTTTAAAACTTTACGTGTATCAGTAAGAGTTACGGTTGTTACAGCACTCACATTTGGTTAGACACTTGGCCCTAGACTTGAATTTCTTTGTTTCATTGTATCAGTGTCACGTTGTAACACACACGTATCTTCTGTCACATCCATACTTTCGACCTGTTTTGTGGTAGACAGTTATGTGGTCATTCGACATAGGCATGTATCTGAATGGGGAAAGCTGAGCATACAAAATGTATTCTCGGAATGCACCAGTTCTGCCAAAATCTATCAGAAGTCACGTTTAAAAAAGCGATTCTAAAACTGAAGATGTCATTGGGTTATAAGAGGAAAATGGAAACCAAAGGCTTCCACCTCGTGTTCTATCTCTAAAAACTGAAGGGGTGTGATATACTGAGTTGGAGGGTTTTACTTCACCAGAATGGAAGGTTAAAACCTCTCATTTCATTCACTTGGAGACCTTTTAGAAATTTCTATAAGATTTAAGTACAAAAGCAATGTAGGAGATTAGTTCCACACTTAAGTCATGTTCTCTGGGAAATTCCCTAATGTAGAATGTGTTCAAAATGAAAGAGATCTTTAAAATACACCAATTATTCTATGGTATAGAGAGGAAGTTACTATATTGGTATACTATTTTTTCCCCTCTCTCAGACTTCCACCCTAATTGCCAGAAATGGGCTGGTTTTCCCTTTTTTTGTGCAAAATGACTTTGTCCTTAAGGAATGTTTGGAAGCTCTTGGCAACCAAGAATAATCCAGAAGCACATCAGGTGTTAGCCCAGTGTGTTGTCAACATCTCACCTGCGAGTAATGAAAGAGAAAAGCTTTTCCAGATTCATTTTGGAGATTTTTTTTAACCCATCATCTCAGAAAATTACTCCAGAGGACCACATTTTATCATCTAAGGTTTCCTTGTTTAAAAGCTGATTCTCCCTAAAGTGTGAGTGACACCAGATGACCCCACAAACAAAGCATTATGACATCATCAGAGACAACCACCTGCTGTGACTAATACGAGAAAATGGGTTATGGGAATCTTGACATGGCCTCACGGTGAAGTCAACATCTGGTCCCTTGTGTTTTATATGTTAAAAAGGATCTTCAGCCGAAACCGGTTTGGCTCAGTGGTAGAGCGTCGTTCTGTGGACTAAATTCCGGTCAAGGGCATGTACATTGGTTGCGGGCACATCCCCGGTAGGGGGTGTGCAGGAGGCAGCTGGTCAATGTTCCTCTCTCATCGACGTTTCTAGCTCTCTGTCCCTCTCTCGTCCTTTCTGTAAAAAATCAATAAAATATATTTTTAAAAAAAGGATCTTCAGCCCTAACTGTTTTGGCTCAGTTGATAGAGTACTGGCCTGCGGACTGAAAGGTCCCAGGTTCGAGTCTGGTCAAGGTCATGTACCTTGGTTGCAGGCACATCCCCGGTGGGAAGAGGCAGCTGAATCAGTGTCTCTCTCTTCATTGATGTTTCTCTCTATCCCTCTCCCCTCCTCTCTGCAAAAAATCAATAAAAATATATATATTTTTAAAAAGGATCTTCATAGGAGGGAAAAGTCAGTACCGCACATACTTATGGAATTTTGTATTTCGGGGAGTTACCTGACCCCACAAGTCCATCCGTTAGCAGAGGTGTGTAAGCCTCAAGATGGGAACACCTTCACTAAAGAGGTGGCAGTGGAGGTCACTCGCTCTCTTGTCCTTCAAAGCCCACCTTTTACAGAGACATAGGTGCAAGCACTTCTTTTCATTGGTTTATGTTCCAGTCCTCCTGAAAAGCAGGGTGCAGTGTGGAAAGCCTGGATTGGGAGCCTTGACCCTTCCCAGGGGGGATGGCAAGCATAGCTACCAGATGTGGCACAGGGACCAACCGTGCAGCACAGAAGCTGCTCACGCTGGGGCAGGGATATGGATGCTCCCTGCCTGGTGGGCTGGACCAGGGAGAGCTCTGTGGGTATTCAGAAGCTACCGAAGGGAGGTCCTTTGTGAGTGGAGGGGCAGGTGTTGAGGGCACTGGCTCTTTCCTAATAACCTCCACAGAAGTATTTCAGTGTTTCTTCTGGGGATGACAGAAATGTTCTAAAAGTAGATTGCGGTGATGATTGCCCCACTGTACAAATTCACTCAGAATGACTGAGTTATTGTCATGGGTGAAGTTTATGGTACGTAAATTACACCATAATAAAGCTGTTCAAAAAAAGAGGAAGCCATTTCAATGTGTTAGCACAGCCAACACCAACCAGTAAGGCCTAGCTGGCCTTCAGACTGGCTCTCCCCGTATGAGACAACAGTACGGTCAGCTGTCTCCCTCGGCCTGCACTTCCTCATAAGTTATTTCTATTGTGAAAAAAATTCCATGATGGTGTCATCACAATTCTTGTTGCTCTCTTTCACCTGCTCGTCAGGCTCATAGTCATCTTTGCCATGTTGCTTAGGACAGCTGCCCTAGTGTTTCTGTCCCTGCCAGACACTTCTTTCTCAGCCTATGACGTATCCTGCCTAACTTTCCCATCCATTTTTTTTGGTGAGCATTTTTGCTTAACATGTGTTAGGAAAGGCACTAGATTTGAAGTCAAAAGGCCTAGATTTGAATCCTAACTCAGCTTCTTCTCAGTTCGATGACCTGGAGTTGGTCACTTAGATGTCTCTGGACTTAGTTTTGTCCTCCGTAAAGTGGGGGTAAAAATGCCCGCATGCAGTTGGTGGTAGAGTCTGGATAAGATGATATAGAGGGGCTCCATGCTGCACAGCAGCACATGGGTGAGAGACCATACCTGGTGTTTCTCCTACAGCACTCTGTTCTCTCTCCAGTCGGCAGATGAGATGCTGGCTAGAGATAAGAAGTGAGGTACACAGCCATGATGGAGAAATACCCATGCCAAGATTCCCAGGTTTCATATCACTGTGAACACAGGCACGTCTGGGCAGGCACTCTCTCTGACCTGAACTCTTCATAGAAAACTTTTGAGGCTGAGATGATGCCTCGCCCTACCCCACCCGATGTCTTTGCCCGAACGTGGCACTCTCCCACGCCTGCCCTCATTAATGACAGCAATGAGAACACCTACTTTGGGTTGAATATTTCCATGTGCCACCCAGGCACTGTGAGAGGCACTTGCATTTCCTGAATTATTTAAGGTTTGAAACAGCATTATGAGACACGGAAGCCAATTCCCCTTTCCAGATTAGGAAGAGGCTTAGAGAGACAGCTTATGAACAGCAGAGCCAAGCTTCTACTTTGGGAACACTAACTCCATGACTTGCAGACTGAATTACTAGACTGGTATGCATGCAGTGTTGTCCTTCCAAATGCCAAGTAACTAATAATCAAATGGAGTCATTTTAAACTTGAACTTAATAGACTAGGTGGATTTTACATTTCACCAAGAATATCTGATGCCCCCAAATACATCTAATTGGTGGATTTTCACACAGTTTGACAAAGTAAAAAAATAAAATTAAAAAGTGGCAATTTTGACCAAAAAGCACTGCAGCTATAAAGGTAAGACACAGTTCCCCATAGTCACAATGCTTACGATCAGGAAAACAGGTGAAAGAAAGGTTTAGCTAGAATAGGGGAAAGCTACTTGCTACCTATGATGGGATGCTAAGTGAGGCTCACGTGGTCTTGCCTAAGAGCTGAAGACGGCTTCCTGGAAGAGCCAAGGCCTGGGCAGAGGTGAAAAGGGCTAGGAGAGAGGCGTTCCTGAGTGGGAGATGCATGTAATTGGTGTCTGCAGGGGATGTCCAATGGAAACTGATGGGAGGAGCTGGGAGACAAGAGGAAGGAAAGGCTTTGTTAGCTGACGTGGAAGTTGGACTTTATCTTAGAAACCGTTTGGCAAATTTGAGGTATTATCAAATGGAAAGTGATGAGGCCAGATTTGTGTTTTGGAATGACTGCTCTGGTGGCTGAACAGATTTATCACAGAAGATCAAACAAAAACCAGAGAAGGAATCTATTGTAAGGGTCAAACCAAAATCAGAGATGAGGAGGGCTTGGTCAAGGGCATTTTGAGGAAGGAAATGAAGGAATCTAGAGATATTTAGGGAGGGACATTCAGGACTGGGATTGTTAGTATGAAGGGACAAGGAAAGAGCTGAGCACCAGGTTTCTGATTTGAAAATACAGGAGTTGTCAGAATGGCTATCTTCAGCAAATCAACAAATTACAAGTGCTAGTAAGGATGTGGAGAAAAAGGAACCCTTGTGCACTGCTGGTGGGAATGCAAACTGGTACAGCCACTGTGGAGA